TTCTTTCTTTCTTTCTTTCTTTCTTTCTTTCTTTCTTTCTTTCTTTCTTTCTTTCTTTCTTTCTTTCTTTCTTTCTTTCTTTCTTTCTGCAATTCACCCCTGCTGCTCGACCAGAGGGATTGGATTATATACAACAATGTGAAATCACAGCTACCACTTCAAAGCTACGGGGACGTGTTAAACCTCATTTCCCCTTCTTTCTCTTCCAGTTCAACAAGGAAAGGTTTAAGATCGACATGCCCCACCGCTTCAAGGTGTACAACTATAAAAGCCCCACCTTCTGTGACCATTGTGGAACGCTGCTCTGGGGACTGGCACGGCAGGGCTTAAAATGCGACGGTGAGTTGGGATCGCCTGGGCTTTAAGGAGATAAGCAGGGGATCATTTCAGCCCCGCTGTAAATAGTACTCGAGGTACGACCACAATTTCTAAAATTTCCGTTGCTAAGTGAGACAGTGTCAGTTTCGCCCCATTTTATGACCTTTCTGGCCACAGTTATTAAATCACTTTTAAATCGCGGTAGCTGCTCCAATGAGTAACGCAGTTGTTAAGCCATGCTGGCTTCCCCGTCAATTTTGCTGGTCAGAAGGTCACCAAAGACGGATGACGTGACCCCCCAGGAAACTGCAACCGTCATAAGTACAGGCCAGTGGCCAAGCGTCCGAATTTTGAACACGTGACCAGGGGGTGCTGCAACGGTCGTTAAGTGAGAAAAACGGCCACAAGTTCCTTTTTTCAGTGCCGTTGTAGCTTTGAATGGTCACTAAACCGTTGTAAATCGAGGACTGTCTATAGGAGCCTCTTTCCCTCCCCATCTCCTTCCCCCCCCCCAATCTCTTACTCCAAAATTTGCTAATGTTTATGTCCTATCAAGGCAGTGAACCATTTAGCAATAAAACGTTAGAGAAATCAAAGCAATAAAAGAAATACTTTCAGTTTGGGGCAAAGGATCACCCCACATGCCTAGCAAGCAGTTTCAAAGGGGTGAAATCCGTGGTGGGTTTCAAAAATTGTTCGAACCTACTCTGTGGGTGTGGCCTCCTTTGTGGGAGTGGCTTGCCACCCATGTGACCAGATGGGAGTGGCTTGCCACCCATGTGACCA